CCCCAAAACCCCAAAACCCCAAAACCCCAAAACCCCTAGTATAATTTTTCGCAGTGAAATTCATATAAACTTGTAAAATAAAATGTCAGCTATTCCAATAAGCACATCTTTGGCAAGTACAAACCCTATTAATAAATCGCCGAGCAAGCAGATGTACTCCTTCTCTAAAAGTGATCGGTTTTTTAAACCTCAAAAAGGACAGTGACAGGAGATAGGATATATTCTTCCATCCACTTTCACTAAACGGTCTGCTTCTTTCGGTTTAGGGTCAAAATTGGATGAGAAGTTTGGCAAGGTAAGCATACTTAGCTTCATACTTCTTCTGGATGGTTGGTAAACGATATAGAGCTTTGTACCTCCACCAGGAGCATATAACACAATTCATTCTGATTTTTCAAGGCTAAATCCTCATCTTCCAAGCTTCTCGTTTGGAGCAGGAAGAGGGGCATTTGAAAAGACATCTGTAAGGAATACCAAAGCCAAAGACAATCCTGGGCCAGGCCAGTACAGTATCCCTAGTACATTCACTCCTAATACCAAGGATAAGAGTTATTCATTGAAGGGAAGAGGGAAATCAATGCAAGATTTGATGATCATGAAAAAGAAAGAGCTTCCTGGCCCAGGCCAGTATTCTCCTAAAACCACTATGAATAAAGATGGAATTTATAGAGTTTCAAGTATGAAAAACACTGCTGCAATGTCTTTTAAGCCTTCTGATAGATTCAAGACTGTGAGAAGCTCTCTGCCAGGACCAGGACACTATAAAACTCCTTCTAGTATTAACTCGAAGGGGAAACATTTTCTTTCTAACATCAAAAGCACTGGTGTGGGAATGTTTGGCTATGGAAGAAGAGATAACGAACTTCTCAAACATTCTAGTACTCCAGGTCCTGGATGGTACGATCTTCCTTCAGAATTGGGATATAATGAAAAGAACCTTATAAAGTAACTTGCATTGTTAAATCTGTAGCCTTGCAGCTTCTAAGTTAAGGAAAAAGCGCAAGAAAAACCCTAAGACAACAAGGTAATTATATAAAGTTGTTAATACACGTTTCAGTAATTTGAGGAGTTAAAGGGGTTTTGGGGTTTTGGGGTTTTGGGGTTTTGGGGTTTTGGGG